TAATACAACTGCTCATATTTGTCGTTCAAGTAATTCCCCTTAAATTGTATGTGGTAAAATCCCCTGTGATCATCAAAATCCAAAATCAAGAATCCCTTTTTCCTCATTCATCCCAGTGCTTTTCCCCCAGACCAGCTTTGTCGACAAACCTGCTATCCTGTGGAGCCGTTTTCCACATTTGGCTTATTATCATTGAAAATGCACTTGTGCTTTTAAGGTTTCTCAAAAAAAAAGCATAAAGGCATTCGAAGATAGCCGCTCAGATGTTTTCTTTCTAAAAAGAATTTTCCGAGACAAACTTATGCCATCTTTCTTTCCACCCAGCCAGCGCTTTGTCCTGTAGCTTTGAATTCAGAGAACTGTACCTGAAAGACGGACAGACAGACGTCAGTGAGCTAACGAACCATCTGTCATGTTTAAATCCCCTTTTGTTTTCTTGTCTCGAGCTCACCTGATAGAGTTCATAGCCAGCTCTTTGAGGGAGCCCAAGTTTGATCTCACCCCACCGAAGCCCACAAACGCTTCGTAGAAGTCATAAGAGAGTCCGGAGGTGGCGAACATGGCGGGGTATTCAGAACTGATGACCAGAGGGTGGTTTTCTGACATCAGCGCAGCTGCCGGGTGGTTTCGCATGTCATTGACCAGCTTCAGCACCTGAACGAGGGGGTGAAAGGCTCATATAGTAATTCACGTGTTTACGTCGTAATCAGTATCTTGAGTAACCACGCTGTGGTCTACATGAGGATAGTGGTACCTGGTTGGAGATGGGACACACTTCCACAGCCACCCCTCTCTTTCTAGACAGCTCCTTGGCCAGTGGGTGTCGCCCCAGAGCAAATCCATGGCCAATACGGGAAGTGTTGAACAATAGAGCGTCCAGCAAGTTCTGGTCCACTTCTGTGCCCTCAACATGCATGCTATTTTGGGAGGTTTTTCTGTACACGATGTGATGCTTGTGAACACCCTCTGATTTCCACGGCCATGGTGACGGTTTCATCGTGATTGAATTTCTTTGGGTGTGCAACAATTTGAAATATCACAAAAAAGACGACGCAAGATGTTGAACATATATATTTACGATACAGTTTGCATTAGATTACCTTTGCCTTGTCTGCTAAAGTCTCTCCATGTTTAATACAACATTCCTGTGACTTCATGACCATACATTAGTGAGACATCCATATGACGCGTGCCAACAGGTTACCACAGTGAATCTTAATACAGGTATGTATGTACATATATATTAATATATGTATATATGAGCTCACCGGTCTCTCCGGCATGGAAGAAGAAAGGAAGCTTCACCCCTCTCTCTGCTGGCAGTGACAAGGCATCTCTGAAGTACCACAGGGGTCTGCCTTTGTCCTCGCGGCCCACCTGCACCCAAACACACGCTAGTAAAGTAAAGCTTCCTTTCACACATTTAAAACAGTAAAAAAATCTGTCCACACAAACGCATGCTCACCATGTCAAAGCCTGCCATGACTTCTGGGAAGTCTATCTGCAGCTTCATGGCCTCCTCCACGGTGCTGGCCATCACTGATGTATTCACTCGCCTGGTATCGGCACGGTGGGCGACCAATGATTACCGAAGAAGCCCGGGTGGTCCTCCGTGAACTGCTTGGTGACCTCCTGGTAGGTCTTCAGAGTCCAGGCTGTGTCGTGAGTGCTGCCGTCCCACTCGTACGTTTGGGTGACAAAAGCAAACAAAAAAACATTGTTTACCGCCTGTGATACGTTCCACGGATGAGCGACTGCAGCGGGGCTTTGGAGTACCAGCGGGAGCAAAGCTCGCAGTTCCAGGTACATAACGTTGTCCGTGTAGAACTGGGTGAGGCCTTGGTAGTAATAGTCTCTGAACACAGGAGCGTAGGTGACCAGGCCCCACAAGGCGGCGAAGGCCTGCTCAAACCGTTCCCACACCACGTCCTGCGAGGGGTACAGCACCTCCGGGTCCTGATCGCTGAACAGCGTCATGTTGCCCATGATGCTGTGGACGGGGGGACACGTGATCATTTGGTGGCATTTTGTTTCCATCACATTTCCGTGTAGAAACCTGGGAGCTACTTGGAAAAGACGCATTGGCAGAGCTGCTTTCTTGTGTTCGACCAAAATGCAGAAACCAGTAAAATAATGAAACATAAGCTTCAGAACTAATAGCCCATCTCTTTCCTTAATATTTGAAGACTCCTGCTTTTGTATATCCCATCCTTGCATCTTATTCCAAACAGGAAATATATCTCACCTGAGTAGTTGTATGTTGTAAGTTAGCTGCTATTTCAAACTGCCACACCAACGAGTCCTTTCTAAAACCACATTAATATACAGTATATACACTATAGTGTGCTTGGAGTCATGTATTTATGGGCTGCAACAGATGCAACAAAAAGGGAGGGATGATATGTGGGCTTCAGTGGCCGTGAAGGTCTTCTACGAAAGACAAGCCCTGATATCTCTCACTAAATACCGGACACGACACTTGACACAACAAGACATTCAACGTCAATGTGTGGACGAGAGCACATTGGCACATTTCATGGTAAAAGATGAAAATAAGTTTGCATAACACACGGAAAACAACATTGTGGTGACTACAATCCGGTAGAGTCACGTGAGGCTAAGTACGGGAGATTGGTGTGTGGACTCGTTCCAAACAGACGCAGATTCCTCCTGTGAAGTTCATTGATTTTATTGTCCGAAAGTCAAGTTAAAAAACATCCAAGCAGGCGAAGCGATACATGCTGTGCAACGATGCAATAAAGTGCGCTGTAGAATACGGTCAACAAAAAGTATCGTCTCCCGACTCACCCCCATGTCCATACAACCATCACTCCGCCTAGATGCCTACACTCATTCATAAACCACTGCACACCGGCCCACGTGACTCTGATGCTAATTACATTTCAAAATAACCCTATATAGTCATCGGGAAGGTCATATATGTTTAGAACTATGTGAAGCTCACCCAGGGGAAAACCCACCTGTCGTCAAAATCCGTGGTATTGACCATCTTGGCCCTGAGGTTTTCCAGGAGGGTCCAGGGAGAGCAGCGCGGCAGAGCTTTGGGCCATCGGGACGAGAAGAAGAACCTGATGGACCGCTTGTCAGTGAGGCTGTAGCAGTGGGGGCGATAGGTGGCGTTCTTCATCAGCCACTCCACGTCTATCATGGAGAAGTCGTGGACGTGGAGAGCTCCCCCTGAAACGGCGAATTACACGACTATGAACAGCCTGGTCTTCACGTACAAGTCTGCTTGGTTTTTATTGACCACTCGTAGATATTCCCTGCGCGCAAACATCAGACATTTTGTGATTATCCAGCAACTTTTGAGACCACTTGTATCACTGATTGTCTCCATGGAAACAAAATCAGAGTGGCTCGTAGCTTTTTTTCTTAGTGCCAACATGATTGTTTTAAAAAAAACAATTAGTTTAAAATTAGAACAATGGAGAATTGTCTTCAAATGTCTGGTTCTGTCCATTAACTAAAATGATTCAGTTTACCCACCGAGAAGCTATAGGGATTTATTTAGGGATTCATCAATTATCATTTCAGCCTCTTTACTTCTGTTAATGTATCAATAAATTTCCACTTGTGGAAGTGGAATTGACCGATTCCTAATGTTTATACAGATTAACATTATAACCAGATCATCATTTCACATGGTGTGTCAAAAATAAGGCTTATTGTTTTCGGAGTTCATTATAAAAAGCTATGCGCACGGCAAACTGGACACACCTTTGGGCATCTTCTGCAGCCTTTGGGCATCTTCTGCAGCAGGTGGAAGATGGGACTGGTCCTGATGAGGGGCCTGGCCCCTGAAGAAGTGCATGGCGGTCCGCCCTCCACGTCTCCTTCTGCTTCATCTTCAACAAGGCGGCGTCCAGCCACTGCTCGGCGGCGGTCAGCGGCAGCCGGCCGCCGGTCTGCTTGGAGGCCTCCCGCCGTATGAGGTCGTCTCTCTGGCGGGGGTCCGGCGCGGCCATCCCGCTGCCGAGGCAGCACAGGAGCAGACAGGCAGCGGCCGCCGCCGGGGGGCGCAGCAGCGACACTGCCACCATGCCGCCGGGGCCTGATTGTTTTTTTTCGGAGAGAAGACATGAAGACGGTTAGTCGGGAAAAGCTGGTTCCGTTTTTTTTTTTTTTTTTGTACCAGCTGTTGACCAGCTGAATTTAAAAAAAAAGAAACGAGAACCATCAGCGGAAATGAAGAGGAAATGAGAGCCGGCGTTTGCTGACATAAAGTTACATCTTAGACTTGCGTTTATTTGAGAAGGAGACATTTGGGCAAGGCTGGAAAGAGACAAAACAAGAATGCCAACTTAATCTTATTATGGTGAAACATCGCCATTTAAAGGATAGCTGGTGCTTTAGCAGCTTAACGTTAGCTGACAGCTGGCGACGGTTCGACGGTAAACAGGCTGGAGCCATAAACAGAACGAGTACGTCGGTTACACGGTGACAGCTCGGAATACGTGTGTGTGTGTGTGTGTGTGTGTGTGTGTGTGTGTGTGTGTGTGTGTGTGTGTGTGTGTGTGTGTGTGTGTGTGTGTGTGTGGAACTATGTGTAGAATAGCTTACTTTATTAGCGCAGGGTCACGAAAGAAAATTGATTCAAGATTGATTCAAGATAAAAATATATGGTGCGTACACGACGAACAAACAAAGCGTGTCGGGACTCGCTTCTCGATCCAGTCCCTATAATTCCAAAACACACGTTCACATACAGGGACAACAGGGACGAGCTGTTACATGAGATCGTGATACCTCAGATGAGTACATTAAATTCAGTGTACCACTTTCTGTTTCAATTCTAACAGATTTATTTAGTAGAAGAAATGAGCATCTCAAAAGGTTGGATACACAATGCTCAAAGATACTCGATTGCACACTTCTGTCGACAACTATTTTCAAAGACATGTTGTATTGGAAATGCACCATAAAAAAGTCTTTTGTTTGCTTCTGTTTCACTGAAAGCATTCCAATCCAACAAAATATTGTTGGAGAAAAGTCATTTATTTCTAAGAAATGTACAGTATAGAAAATACTCTGTTCCATTTCCAAAATAATCTATGTCAGTCAGATAAGAACTTGTAAACGTCGCTGAAAATTAAACGCAGTTCTTATTTAAACGCCACCATGCCACTGAGGTAAAAGACAACTGCTTGAAAGAGAAAAAAAAGAACAGAAACGTACATCACATTTATATTAAAACAAGTCATCAAATGTACAAAGATGCTTAAGAAGGAAAATAAATATGATTCACATTTAAATCACGTCTAAATGGTTTTCACTAGTGCAGGGAGGACAGCAGAGTAAAAGTGAGAGATGAACGCACACTTCCGATCATCTGGTGCCAATTCCACACCAGCAACACACACACACACACACACACACACATACACACTCACACGCACACGCACACACATGCACACGCACAGGTACAACCTCAGACATCCACACTGTCCTTCATGCATTAGACAGCGCGAGTGAACACACTACCTGAAAAGTGACCTATTGGGCACAACTTGAAACCACTGCCTATTTCCACTAAATAGTCTTGTGCGACACATTTAGAACATTTTGCTCACAGCTTCTAGTACTTTTCTATTCCACCATACTGAAAGATTTCCCCGCAACGCCTTAGGTACCTACTACTGAAGAACATCGTAAACCCATTATGACGGCACGTCTCTGTGCGCTCTATTAAGAGACCAGAGACTGGAACGCAGCTTGAGACCAATTTACAGACTGCTGCTCCGGACATGCAGCGTTGTATTGCCCTCAACACTTCAAAAAAAAAAATGCTGAAAGTGCCGTCCCCTTAAAATGATTCAAAGACTGATTAATTTACATAAACGTCTGCCGGTCGGCACAGACGTCCGACACGGCAACCTGTGACCAAAGCGGGTCGTAAGGCCATTTCATTCATTTCAGTTCTGAAAGACTGCACAATAATAGTTGTGCTAAAAATCATCAGCTGGTCACAACGTGTTGACCCGCAGAGCAGGAGAAAGAAGTTTCAGAGACTCAGTTGATGCCAATGAGGTAGATTAATTTACTGTCATCACTAAACTGCACAGGTGGGCTTTCACAGACGCGACGTGGATACGACGAGGTGAAGGTGCAGGGCGGAGCGTCGACGGACATTTTCAATTCATTAGAAAATGCATTGGTAGCCCTTTAAAAATGTGTCCTATTCCTAAATGAATTGTGATTTTAAAAAACTCAAAAGACATCTAATCAACAGGAATGTGGAATAACCCATATTTGATTCATCTCACTTCACAAAAAACAAAGACAGGTGTTGGTGTTGGTGGTGAGGTGGATCCGTTTGCCAGTTTCAGTCCCTTATTCTTTATGCTGCTCCTCCTTCAAATAATGCAGAAAAATACCCGTATATAGAAACTATACCCCCCGAGGACCTGTTTAGTATCAACATGGGGAAGAGGAAGCAATCAGAGAATCAACTACGCAGAGAAATGAGCCGCGAATGAAAAAAAGAAAGTACACACTTTTATGTGTTAATAGTCAGGATTTTAGGGTGTTTTTTCTGCATTTATCAGATAGCAGAATATGTCATTTTAGAATTTCGCCCAGTCCGGGACAGGAGATAAAGGATATATATTCATACATACTATATGTGTAGGACTAGAAACAGGTCTACCAAAGGCCACGAGATCTGCAGACTAAAATCCACAGTGCATCCCAGAGAGTTGTGTTGAGTCTGGATATGAATCGCACTATTTCTGCCAGTCCCGCTCTCCTAGTCCAAGACATTCTTGACAATGAAGGCAGCTATGAAAGGTGCACATAGTTACTCTGGAAGTAGAAGAACAAATGCGCATTGGGGTGAAAGTGGACAGTAACTGGGCTTTCTTCAGGACGGTTCTGCTTTGGACAAATGATCAGTGTTTGTGTACCTTCACACGCAGATAATCTGATGCACACACCGTATTGTCTACACATTCGCTCATACATTCACAAAAAGGTAATCAAGGCAATTACAAGGGGCCTGTGATTTTGACTGGGGGAGGGTGACAGTCTATTAGTACCTCCTTTTCTACACCTGAGTTTAAAAGTAGGGTTGGAACAGAAAATAACAGCATATAAAATTAAAAAGATAAATCAACAGCAGTCCCTCTCATCTTCATAACAGCCCTGCTCAGTTCACTCAGTAGATCAACGGCTCCATCAACTAGGGACAGTCACAAGGACAACAAAGGCAGGCTGTGTTCAGTGTCCTTTAATCCATTACTCATATCTCCGATCGCTCAGAGGGCAGAGGTCAGTCCAGTGTTCGTGAAGGGGGGGCCTCAGTGTTGGTTGGGTTGGCGGCTGCGGCCCTTTGGAGGCTCAAACTCATCTCGTGGTGAGCTGGTCAGTGAAATCTGCTGCCGGTCCCGCAAGAAGGACACATTCACATTTCACATTATTGTTATTGTCTTGGGTCAACCAGCTCCCCGGTTGGATCCTCAAAGTTCAGCGGTGGGCGAAACACAGGGCCAAGAAGGTTCTTGTCCAGTGTAAGAAAATCCTTAAGAAATGCACATGGAGCAAAGGGTCCATTCTACGGTTTCAGTCTGCGTACCCACGTATTATTCCTCTTGGCTCAGTACTTCCTCCGGTTTGATAAGAACATATCTGAAAGGACAACGACAATTAGAAAAACCTCTCACACATTAAGGACACAGCCTGACGGCCCCATGATTTGATATATGTCCTGGTCCCTTTGGAACTGCATCGATGCCTTATGGCAGAATGTTTATGTTCTTGGGAAAAAACGCCCCATAGGCACTGTCGCGAAAACGTTGGCGGAAAGATGATATTGCGAGAAGCTGCGAGAATTGTGGTGTGTCAAACGCTATTTTTACTCACTCCGAAAACAGTTCCTGTCACACTCCTTGTTTACTTATCGGGCCGCCTGGAGCCGCCATCATCTGCTGCCTGGGACCACGGGAACAAGAAAAGGTTGTCAACAGCTGCCGTTACTGAAGAAGTCCAGTTGCCACTCGGGCACAAATAAAGGTTGTTTTACTGCTACTGGTCTGATATCATTTATAGGCCATCAAAATTGTTGATTCATCTCCCGTCTATCGACTTATAATAACATCACGTCAACAGAGTACAGGCTGAAGGGAAATGAAAGAAGGACACAACCAGCCAACCACACAATAGCTGCAGGTCACAGGCTTTTAAGACGCCGAAAATGTCAAACTCAGCTTAACGGCGGTGGTTTCAGACAAAATAGCATCCATAACACAAGGGCAGTGGATGTTTTGGAGAAGGATATTTTACAGTGTAGATTTGACAGTATTTGGGCTTTTATTGGGCAGTGATTTTGTTTATTGTCCAGGGAGAGACATGGTACAATTACACCTCGAGGTGAACGGCATTTAAATACAGTTTACTATATTACTTGAGTGAATCCGTGTCACAGCCCTTTGTTTTTTCAATATAAGCAAGAGTAGCTTTGTGGTTAATAGAGGAGACTTACTCTGGAATTTAATTCTTCACTGGACTAAAAGACCATTTACGACCACGTGGTAATTTACTATTGGATATCCACATAAAAAGGGGGCGAACCTTTCCTTGAGGCCAAAGGCTTGTTTTGTACTAACCCAACTTCCTTTTTAAGTTAAAATACATTCAAACAGGACTTTTTACCGAGGTTACTGCGGCTCTAATGTCACAAGTCCCCTCGCATTGAAACAAAAACTAATAAACATGGACAGACCACAGAGTCAACTGTAATACAAGACTACAAGCTCTTAGTAACAGACTGAATGAATCCGTTTACCCAGGGTGTAGGAAGTGTTCTGGTGCCATGCCTCTCTGCTGAATCATCATGCATTGGAAGTTTCCTGCGGGCCGAGGGTGTCTGTACATGACCATGCGCGTCTGACCCGGCAAGTAAGGCAGCTGCTGGGGCCGCTGCAGCGCCTCCATCAGATGCGAGTGTGGTCTTTGGGCGGCGTAGCGTCCCGGATCCAGGTACGGCCGGCCATGGTAGGGAACTCCGTCGGCGTTTCCACGGGTCGGAAAAATCATGTGGGACGGAGGAACGCCGCCGTGCTGCATCCCGGGGTGCACGGTACCAGGGTCGAACATGAAGCCGGACACCATGTGCTGCTGGGTGCTGCGGCGGCGGGCCGCGGCGTTGTGGCTGTCCAGGTCCAGGATGTCCCTCGGGCTCTCGGGCCGCTCTGAGCTCTCCTCGTGGGCCCGCTTGGCGGGGCTGCCGCAATCGCTGCTTTCGCACTTCCTCTCCTCCGGGCCGACGGGGCGTGGCGCTACTTCGGCCACGGGGCCGGGGGACATCAAGCCGGAGCCCTCGGAGCCCAGCGGCGACACACTGCTCTCCTTCAGCTGCCCGTTGCCTCTGGCGCCGGCTGCACGTAGGTAGCCATTGGGCGACATGGGTTGGTGAGGCTGATAGTGAGGCCGGTGCCACTCCTCCGGAGGGTAACCTCCTCTGCCGTTGGCCTGGTTGTGGATCGGAGCTTGTGAGTGGGGTTGCGGGAAGTAGTGGTGTTGCTGGTACTGATGACTCGGGTACACGTTGGGGTGGGCCTGAGGGTGCTGTTGGCCTGGTGCGTGGTACGGGTAGGCGGTCCCTCCCTGCTGGCGGTAACCGTGGAGGCTGTTGATGGCCTGGTTGTGATACGGGTGGTGAGCAGACGGAGGCATGGGCCGGGTCATGTTTGTTTGGCTGTAGTGTGGATGTAGATTGTTCCCCATGGCATACGGACCCATGGCTCCATTTACCTGGCCTTGGGTGTGAGGAGGCATGGCTGGATTGTGAACGGGCGCTGGCCCTCCCTGAGCCTGCATACCTGGGTGACCGCCCAACACCTGGGTTTGATGGGGATTGGGGCTAAAAGCCTGTTGTTTGGAAACGCCATTCAAAGGCCCAGATTTCATCATGTGCAGCGGCGGGGCGGCGTTGCCGTCTTTGTCCGTTCTGCTCGGAGGCTCGCTGGGTCTTTGATTCCCATGGTCGGCTGGGCTCGGCTGGGACGGTAGCAGAGGGGTGGGACGGCTGGGTGGCAGCCAGGTGAGGGGAACTGGATGAGGGGGTCCAGGCTGGGCTCCTTGTGTGGCATTCTGTGGCATCCCGTGCATGGGACTGCTCTGTGTAGGGCGTGGAGAGGTGTTTTGGGGGACGCAATGAGGGGGAAGGAGAGAGCTTACCGGCTGGGGAGAGCTCTGAGGGGGGCATTGGAGCGGCGTGCTCTGGCTCGCCTGAGGTCGCTGCTGCTCACTTTGCCGGTGTGCATCCTGTACGTGTGACGGGTTGCTCTCCAACATTCGCTGAGGGGAACGCAGCGGCGGCAAGTTCTGGTGAAGAAGGGCGGGGCTTCGAGCTTTTTGCCGTGGGGTGTCATGCATTGGCTGCGGGTGGTTGGGGTGGGCGTGGTCAGTGGTGCTGTTGTTACTGGAGTTGAGATAGGACAAAACACTCGTGGCCCTCATGTGTTCAGTTGGACACTGGCTGGCAGAGTGTCTCTGGCCATCTACCTCAGGCTTGTGGCTCGCTGTGGAGAGCCTCAGTCCAGACGGATTCTCCTCCAATTTGCCCGAGTTAGAAGCTGGGGGGCTCTGCATTCTCTCTGATAGCCCAGTGAGTCTTTCTGTGGGGCTACGAATGGAAGGGGGCTCTTGGTGTAATGAAGCTTCATCCGAAATGTTGGCGGATTCTGTTGACAAACGACAAAATGCAAGAAAGGTTAGCATTGGGAGTTGTGGGGGAGGTTAGCATTAAAATTACAAGACTTGTTAATAAAGGCAATACCATCTTGTGTTGTTTTAAAAAATATGAGAAAAAAAAAATCATATGAAATCCTCAAAACCAGATAAGAGAGTAAATCTATCCCGTAAAAGTGAGATTTGCAGCCAGGGAGAAATCCCACTAAAACAATGAATATTCATGAGCCCCTTGCAGGGAAAATTTAGGAAAAAACAAATTGCAAAGAGCAACCACACTACGCTCTTGTAGCAACTCTTTCTTTTAGAAAGGTCGGCCTGGTTTATGTATAGATGGCCAGTTAAACACTGAAAGAGAAGGTTGCGTCTACCTTTGGGCCGCATGTCTGTCTGTTGAGAAGGCTGGCTGTCTGGCCCATTGTCTGTAGCGGGACGCAGCAGCTGAACCTCAGGGGCAGGGGGAGGCTGCTGAGAGGGGTGAGCTGGGATGCTGACAATTCCTGACGGGGGCCCATTCGGCTGAAAGTTGCCGATGTGCTGATGAGGGGTACCAGCAGGGGGTCCAGAAGAGGCTGACAGCTGCTGCAGGGCTAGCATCTCCGGGCTCTGCAGCATAGAAGCCAAGCGTGTCCTGCTAGAGGAGTCTGGGTGGGGAACAGGGGAGCGGGAGGACATGGGTCCCGGGGAACCGACCACTGCGGACATTTGATACTGGGCATTGGGCGAGGGGTGGGGGTATCCAGCCGCCTCTGGCCAAGGTTTATGGTCCACTGGAGGGGGAACTCCGCCGTGACTAAAGTTGCGCTGGTTCACCATGTTGGGATCTTGCATTCCCATCCCGTTGGGTCTCTCCTGGTGATTCATACCAGTCCACATGTTCGACAGGCCCATTCCGGGAGGCCTCAAGCCTGGGTAGTTGTGCTGAGGTCCTTCCGGCCCTAGGAATCTGTTTCCCAAGGGGTTCATGGTGTGTCCCTCCGGACGGTGGTGGGATGGATACATGCTGGCTTCGGGAGGAGGTCCTGGTTGTAGGCCCAAGGGCCGCGGGCCAAGAGACGGGCCGTGAGTTGGACCCATGTAGGGATGCTGCGGCTGGTGTTGGTTAGGATCTGGTCCCATTGGATACCTACGACCCATGTGCCGTCCCTCAACCATGCGATGCTAGGGGCGGAAAGAAAGAAATCAAGTTAGAGATTTTGATTAGTAATCACGTTTTGCCAGTTAATTAGGCTTGCATACCTGTATGTTAAAGTTGTGTGGCAAGCGGTTCAAACTGGGGTCGCCATGCCTGGGAATATGCGCTGGATAAGAGAAGCGGGGATCCATGGCCATTCTCTGGCCATACATGTGTGGACCATGAGGACCGGGCGGACCAAGAAGCTGGAAAGATAACAGAGAGATTCTAAATATTTCTTCAAAATTGTAGACAATTTTAGGCGCAGGGCGTGTTTTTTTAAACTTAGAGGAAATCTTCCTGTGGATACCTGTTGTCCTGGGTGGTACATGCCCCTGATTTCTCCTCGGTGAATGTGCTGCTGGCTTTGGTGATGAGGGGGGGCATTGGCCCAGTGAAGGGAGGGAGGCGGACGCGTCCGTCTGTTGTTCTCTTCGGGGTGGGAGCTGCCCTTGCCCCCTTGGGAGTTTCTCTTGTGTTGGACTTGCTCGGTGCCTTTGATCAGACTTTCGGGTCCCAAATGTTTACTGCTGCCACGATTGCGCTTTTTGTCCTTGCGCTCCTTGTCTTCGCTGCTGATGTGGAACTCCTCGTCCGTGTCGCCGTCCTCGGACGGAAAGTGTTTCAATAGGGCCCGGCTGAAGCACCGTTCTAGAGACTCGGCCATGATGGTGTACTCTGTGGAAATCCCCCCAAAAACATCAGCTATGTTCGTATGATAAAACGCAAAGCTAAAAAACAACCCTGTGTTGTGCTGCCTCGTAAACGCAGACACACACTACATACCTGTAGCATATCCACTCATGGTCACTCTGCATGCTGCCAGTCCCCCCCCATCACATAGCACACACAGTCCTACAAACACTTCACTTCGTCCCTCAGTCACTCCTTTGCACTCCAAACACAACGGAACATGTACCCATGGACAACACACTTGCTCCTCTGTTCCCATCCTAGCACCGGCCAACTGACCAGGTCAGAGGGCATAGGATGACCCCTCCTCCTGCTGCTGCCACTGCTGCTCCACCCAGGGCCCCCTGACCACGCTCCTCCCCCCTGTCCCTTGAGAGAGTATTGAGTTGGATGGATGGCTCCAGACAGGGGGCTTAGGAGCTGGAATGTTTCTCTGGCACTGCAGGGCTCAGATCCCCCTGAGCACTAGAGCACAGCTCAATCACTCCTCATTAATCACTGTCAGGCCTGCCCTGGCCCTGGCCCCAACACCCTGTGTTGGGGCCAGGGCCCCCTTTTCCGGCCCCCTTTTCTTTGTCTCCCCCCCCCTCCCCCCAGGCAGTCCCCCCCCCCGCCAATAAAGAAAATCATATATGCACTTCTTCACACAACAGACCCCCCAACTGAAATTGATTTTCATTAGCATTCAAACCGAGGCAAAAGTGTGGAGGGAGGAAGCTGCGCTGTCGAGCTGGTTTGTGTGTATACCGCTGTTCTCTCCATTGTACTCGATGCAGTTCTCAAACATGAGCTTCACGTCGGCGGCAAACTCCTCCTTGGCAACGTAGTCCCCATCATTGAGCTTCTTTTCAATGGTGGACAGGTCCATTGGTGTCTGAGGGGATTGGAAGAACAAATAAGTCACTAAATAAAATATCACTAACTACTGTGAGATGCTGGCTCTCATTTCCTGCATTTAGTACCTGGATGATCTCGTGGTAATTGGGGGCGTAGGAATCATCCACAGGCTCCAAGAAAGGCCAAGCGTCTTTATGGGCTTTCAAAACCTCGAGCACTTCAGAGGAGAGATCAGATCGGACATTAGAACCAACATCAACGCAGGTGGAGATGAAGCAGCGGCCTTTAGCAACTGCTCAGAAGCGTACCTTTGTACAGAGTAGTGTAGTCGTCATCAATTTCATAGCTGAAATGTCAAACACGCGACAGGTTAAAAACACATCAACTGCGAGTCATTTTAAGTAGTCAAATGAGGAGCGCAACGTGGACGACGCCTCTTACAACGCTTTATTCTTGCGTGTTCTGTGGACGGGAGAAGAAGGCTCCAGATTCAGGAGTTCAGGTGGCAGGTCTTTCCCTGAGACAGTAACCAGGCCTTTTCCTCTCGCATCTTCCGCCTCTTGGCTCGCTCTGAGAGAGAAGAATGGCAGGGGAGGGGGGCAATTAGAAGCACAACCAATAAAAACTAAATACTGTAGATACACCAGTCTCGGGAGACTGCAGACCAATTTTAATTGCTTTTCCAAAGGCTCTTGAGCAATTGCTCTTGCTGTCGATTGAGGCTGTCGAGAGAGTCAATGAAAACCAGGCCTCGGCCATCAGAAACAGCCCCAGTGTAGTGACGAAGTCCTAAACGAAGTCTAGTACTGGTTGCTAATACGGTAGATTAGTTTAGACGTGCGCCCGGTGCGCTCGAACACAGCAAAACGGAGAGTTCTGTGAGGTTACAATTATCTTGCATGTTTATTTTACATCCAAATATCATACAACGGCAAAACTTTAACTCATAATACATGTACCCAAAATAACAAACCGCATTGCTCACCACAAAGGCACACACGCACACTGGCACAGTCGAAAACTGTTTGCTTCCCAAATTAGCAACACCTGTGTCTGAGATTCCTGCAGGTTAAATGGCCTACCTGGGCTGATCCGAGGTCAGCTGAGCCACAAAGCACATACAGCCCCCTAGTGGCACAGAGTAAAATTAAATGAAATAATACCAAATGAATATGGCTCCTACACCCAGCTTAGATAGGTAGGGAGAAAGTCATTCGTCAGACATCTTTTCTTCGGCCCGGTTGATCAAAAGAGCGCAGCGTAGAGTGCAAATGCAGCTTTATCTTTTAACATGAGAGGCCTGCCGTGAAAATTAAAAGAGATTTGAGGGAGGATCCCACATTTGCAATGCATACAGAGATCAGGCCCCTTTCTGCTTTTCATCTATAATACATTAATGAGGCTCCTCCAACGAAGCACAATCAGCAGATCACTAACCCTTGACAGATGACATCAGAGGGGTTGGGGGGTGGAGTGGGGGCACGGGACTGATCTCCTGATGCCCTGAGCATTCGCTCTCACAGTCTCTGTGTATTCTACATAAATCAGAGGGCTCAGAGCGCCGCTATGCTACTGTAGATCTTTAAACCGCTACGAGCCAAACCACAGCAGTGGAGATGTGTGGCCTGCGGGTGAGGTGCCCTTCACAATCCATTCTTCCCTTGATCCATTTGCAAGAACGTAAGCAGAGTGCGAAAGGCCCCTACCTGCTGCTTCCAGGTCGCTGATGAAAGAATGTGAAATTATTGATGCTCCTTTGATACTTGACTTTTGGCACTGAGCTCTGTTTATATTTTTAACCCCTCTGCATACCATAGCTGACTTATAACTAATTGGGCTTGCTGCAGTAGATGGGGGACGTGATTCAGATCTGAAAATCAAGGTACCTTGGGAACCGACAGAAGTTTCACATGGTTCCATTTGTGTTACAGACATCTTACCCTCCACAGCTTTGATCTTCTCCATCTTCTCTCTCTGCTGCTCCTCCTGATGGAGCCTTTCCTCTTTGCGTCGTTGCTCGGCCAGCAGGACCTGCCTGTCCAGCTCTTTGTCTTTCTTCTTTTCCTCCTCCTGTGATATGGCCCTCACATTGTCCTGAACACATAGACGCATGATAGTAACTATATCGGTCTTAATCGTGCAATAACAGGAATAATGTGCTAACTGGAAACACTCAAAGCCGAAGGAGGTGCAACTAAAACACCTCTTTGAATTGGTCTAGCTCTGCTGTAGTACACCTGGGGTTTGCCCTTCTACCAAACAGCATGTAGACAGAAACACACACACACACACACACACACACACACACACCTCGTGCTCTCGGTTAAAGTCTTTTCCTGAGAAGCGCTGTGATATGCGAACTGGGGCCGGGTCCAGTAGCCTCTGTTTCTGCTCCCGCTCCTGAGGAAAAAAAAAAAAGGAAAATAAGGAAATAGCCATTAAAGGCACAAATCATAATGCAAGTGGCAACAGATGACAACAATTTGTTATTTCTTTTTCTAAAAGAATTACATTTGTAAGTACATTCCAACATTTTCTTTTCAAATTTCCGGGTGACATCTACGTCTCACATACATACATATCATTTACAATATCATCAGCAAATGACTGATTGAGTCTTGGCCACGCACACACCGGGCCCAGGGGAGGAGCAGTGAGGAGACCGAGGTCACTGGCTCTCCCCTCCCCCGCTGACAGCCTAGCTTAGTCTGGTTGACAAATACACTACGCCGTGATATAGCACCAGATAGCCAGTCCAGCCCATTTAACAGCACAGTATCTTATATTTCTCACTACGCAGCTTAAAAATACTGCCTTTAATCCACATCCCAGTTGGGGATCCAGACATAGCACACAGGAGGAAGAGGGGGAAGGGGGGGAGAACACCAGCCAGCAGAGAGCTCTAAACGGATCCCTTGAAAGCTCGTCTTTATCAGGGACCGGCTTCTGCAGCTCACGTCACAGTTCATCAGAGAAGACGGACTGTGAACAACTGTCGGCCTGCAGCGGCCGACGGCACTGAGAGGTGTCACAATCAGGCTTCTGGTCATTCATAACACAGTAATGAGGCCTAAAGAATGCTTTCGATGCCGCGTGAAGCCTGCGGACGTGTGCGTGCGGGGGCGGCAGAAGAAGAATGGAGACACAGTCGGCACGAGAGGACGGAAATAAGACAGATGTCCACGATCTGATCTATAGTGCCATCTGAAGCTTTTCTGTCCCCGCTCCATCTCTGCCTCGTCTTAGCGCGAAGCCCCAACATATACGGGGGCTCCGCAATCCCTCCGTACGTCACCCCCCCCCCCCCCCCCCCCGGCGCCAAATCCCTGCTCCACCCAACGCACAGACAATGATGGAGTGCCTCAGGTGTCGACACGCAGAGAGGTCGAGAGAATCCTGCACCGCTGTAGAGCTGTCACTCACGAGGCTTCGTCCTTCGTCAAGGTGAGCTCCTGCCTGCTATCAGAGGCCCATGACAGCAGCCCGAGACAGGTGGAGAACACACACACACACACACACACACTCTGTATTTGACGTGCTGTAATGTTCACACGAACACAGACAGACACACCCACTAACGCAAATAAAAACTGATGTATTCAAAAATTTAGTCAATATCCGATGGTTCTGGTTGCTTTTAACACTTAACTACGTTTCATGGAGCATGTCACAGTCGTAAACGTAAACATTCTACAAGGGTCTCAGTTGTGTGTATATGAATCACATAAGATGAGAGGAAGCCGTTGCCTAGCAATGCCATATGGTTAAAAATAAAAAAGAGAAACTGCAGATCAATGCAGGGCCTTCCGATTGGATCTCCAGCTGTGTAACACCGGTGGTTTCTTTCACACTGTGATGAGGTGTGATAGAAACCAGTTCCTTCTCTGTTGTTTGTAACATGAAAGTGTCTCTTTAATAAGTCGCCTCAGTGGAAAGGCATGGTTTCAAACACGTATGCAGATTAAACACAAGAGATGATTAACACGAGAAGTCCCCAACATGCTGCTCAGTCCGTAAAATGGATTTCGTTACAAAACTAGTTCTCCACAGTCTGCCCCAGGGCCAACTCCTTCCCAAAGCTGGTGTGCAGAATTCAGGGCAAGCAGAGACCGGCTTCCCTTCCCTTCACCTCTCCTGCAGCTGCCCCAGCTAAAGAGTCCAGGGTCATGAAAGAAACTCCTTGAGGGGGACAGTGATCTATTGCAACATGAAAGTAACCGAGGAGAGGCTGCGCAACCTTTCAAGCTCCATTAGTCCTGCTCCTGCCAATGCCAAAAAGTCATACGGGTAGGGACTATAATTAACATTGATCCGAAAAGGAGGTTATAAAACCAGATGAAAAAGGGATTTTTTTTTTACTTACCGTGGCCCTTATATGCGGCATACAACTCATGAGAAGATTAGTTTAATATTAAGTTCAAATGAGAATTAAAACACCGGCATATCTGCTCTGGTTGGAATTGGCTGTTTATGAGCTAACATATCATTGATATCGCTCGTGGCCAAAGCCAACAAACTGGACCCGCAGCCCAATGACTATGTGCTGCCGTAATTGGAGCTTATAGCAACAACATCACATTTGGCATCTGACCTTGTGCTCGATCATGCTGCGGATCTCGGGCAAGAAGTTCTGGCTGACGACCCGGTGGAGGTGGCGGTCCTGGGGGGAGGGTTTGTCCTGGATGCTCTCGACCAGACTGACCCATTGCTCCTCCGTGTCGCACACGAGCGACCAAGCGCCTCGCTTGCGGCCTGGTAGAAGCGAAAGAGAGGGAGAGACGTCGACTTATTGATCCTAGTGACGATTGATACAGTGAAACGTGAGGAGAAACACACACACAAATCCACGGACACTTGGATGAGGTCAACATGAAAATAAATGTGCTTATATCCCTCAGATCCCCTCACCTGTGCTAGGGGGGAGATCTTGCGGCCCTTTTTCTGTCGTCACTTCGTTTTCCAGCTTACTGAATGGTAAAAACATTGGAGAATAATACAGGAAAAACTTTTCAGTGAATAATTAATTGTAATGAAACGCCACATGTTTCTGTGACAATTCGGGGGGGTTTTTTTAGACTTTAGATTAGATTCCCAGTCTGCAACTGGAGACAAACAGAGTTATATTCTGCATGTACTCCCTTAGCTTTTGACTGCCTTGTACATAGGGAAACAGGAACACATACTGCAATTTATATGACTGCTCTATGTATCTGTTATATCTTCCACGATATGCATGTTTTTGTCTACAGAAACAATTAAAATACAAAGGGTTTACACGCCAAGAAATGCGCTTCCTTATATCCTTATATTATTATAATTACATTTCAGGTCGAGCAATGATCTACAGGCAAGTCACCAACTGACTGAGCTCAAAGGGAATCCTAAAACAAGTCTTCAAAAACCGGATTATGTGTCATCTTCTTAAGCAATAACTGCTGATTACATTTGATGGTTAAATGCAGATTTTTCTTTAGATATAACCGTGCAGATGTGGGCATTTCTCAGTTTTACGCTGTTGACTCACCACAGCTGAGGCTCTTCCAGTTTTATCTTCTTTGGCGGTCTTCCCCTTTTCTTTTCTCTGGTAACGTCAGCTCAGTGGCTTCACTGAAAAACAACACAAAGCAGAAAGGAAGTCTTTACAATGATGGCCTTTTAACCAAGTAATAAGCACTAGGACACCTCTATGATTAACCCTTAACAGGTCTGTAAATGGGTCAAACCACGACTGCAATTACACACTTACCACATGCACCAGTTAAGCACAGACAACATGACGAGTGACACAACATTTGTCATCAGTGCACCTGGTATGAGGGTTAGAGAGAGGGAGAGATATTTACCCCATTTTCTCTGCTTTCCTCTTGGTTGGTTCTTCTTTGTACATGCGAGTGCCGTAAAAGTACCAGTAGAGGGCTCCATTTCCATCCTGCCCCAGTGGTTCCACTCTCAGGCTGTCTGCATCCAGGCCCTAATGGGGGGGTGGAGGGGGGCACTTAAATCATGGGCTGGTATTTTAAATCATTAGTCATTAGCAGGTGATGTCATCCTGTCCTTTGAGCCCACATGGCCGTGAATCATACACAGACATGGGCCACTTTCACCATCTTTCAGAGTAAATTCATAGATCTGCTTATTTATTTGGAAAAAAATGTATCTCCTGAAAAAACTGTAGGATATATTAGAGGGAGAGTATAAACAGGATGTAGGTATTGTGGCTATGGTGTTATTAGATGCACCCACATGCTTTGTTAGGTGTCTCATAAAAGCTTCATTGCTTCTAATTACCATAGTGTTAATGGAGTACAATGCTTACAGGCTGCGCAGGTCATAATTAAGTGGTTGACACAGTAAGTAACTACTTATCATAAAACAATAAGTACTTCCTAAATCTCTTGAGTAAAATGCCGAGCAGAACGCGTGCATGGAAGCAGATATGTCCGCGCGGCGTGAGCCGGTCCCCGTGGACGTTTACCTTGAGCAGGTCGAACACATCAGCGGCATCTAGACGGTAGTCGCACAGCCGGTGCAGCAGTTCCACCTGAGTGCGAGGAGGGAGGTCCTCGAAGGGACCCTCTCGAAGTGGGTTGGGCTTCCCTTCTTCCAGCTCCCACCGGTAGCTGATGACGTCGTCCAGGTAACTGCTAAATGCCTGAGGGCTAAAGGGGCGGAGCAAAGGCATGAAAAAAAACAAAAAAACGATGAGAAACTGAATGCAACAGAGGAAGGTGCAAAAGGGAAGGCATGGCTCTGAAAACCTTTAACACCAGCTAAAATCTAATCTGATTATTTTTAAAAAGCAACGTACACACACACACATGTACCATTACATCATCATAATCAAATTTAGTTTTTCTTGCTGATGTCGTGGTCGTTCCATTGGGTGTCAGTTTCTATTTCACTTCATCCTCATTCTGGTTCAGTTCTTCCCACTTAAGATCTTCCATTGTATTGTTAGTATGGAGAGTTGTGGAGCAGTCAGGAGTTCAGGTTGGGGGTGCTGAGCAGGTTAAGCTGCAATAGGAGGGCGAGTTACAGCCCTCACTTCCTACTCGTCCCCCTTTCTAGTTTTGCTTACGGTACGCCAGCGATTCCCAAAGTGTGGGCCGCAATGAAGGTACTGCAGGTGGGCTGCGAGAGGTCGTTTACAATAAATAAATAAATAAATAAATAAAGTTTTTTTAAAGTTTCGGAGAAACAAAGCTGCCGTTCTTGCCGAGCACTTTATGAGATTAAAGAGCGAGGGACGGTGCTCTTTTCTCTACAGTAGCTGAACCATCTTAACGGGGAAAATAAGTTATTCTAAAAGCAGCCAAAGATTTAAGGCGTGGATGGCGAGGGGGGCGGCGGGAGCGGACGCACCTCGCAGCATCGATCGGACCTTGAAAGCACCGTCTCCACCTGACTGTCAAAAACAACAACAGAGAGCGCGTAGAAAACTCCTTCGAGCGCGAGCAGAGATTCTCCTCGCGAGCAACGAAGTTCACGTTTCGCAAGCGAGCAAATACCTCGAGGAGACGAACTTTTGCTCGCGCGAGACAGACTTTTGCTTCGGGTGTTTGATTTTGGTTAAATTCTTACAGTCATTTAATCATTATGTTTTGATCAGAGTTGTGATTAAAGGTTTGGGTGGGCCGCGAAAGATTTTCAAATTTCAAAGTGGGCCACGGCATTCTTGAGTTTGGGAACTGCTGCGCTACGCTGTTGTCTCCTACGTTTGTTTTGTAGATGATTTGTTCGATTAAGGTCATCCCCTTTCAATACATTTGAAACACGCATGTTAGGAAAAAGTTATTTAGGTAGCCTATCAGTTGCAACCCCAAAATAATGGATTCATTAATCTGGTTATTGTCTAAATGTTTATTGGATCATGCGGTTATAAGGAACACCAATACAATAATAAGATGCAAATTATTAAAACAAATAATGAAAATAAATTAAGACAGAGGGTTTTTTGGGGGGGTCTATAGAGATCCGTCAGCATGGATCTCAATTTTATAATTGCAAATGCCTTGTAGCCATTGTTGGGAAAACATTCCACGTCTCAAAATCAAGTAATCCAGCAGAACGCGCAAAGTTCAAACCAGCCTATCGGCTTTAAAAACCGAGGACACTGGACCGGGGCGGGGAGAAGAAGAAAGGGAAAGACTAGTTTCTTAGAATGACGGCAGAGTCGTATCTCTTCTACGAGTGGAAGGTGGTAAATAAACGTTGGTTCCGGTTTAGGTCTCGATTAATCTGTAGCTTTCAGCTCCGACTCCAGCTGAACGGAACAAGGGCTCGGGGCAGGGGTGGGCGCAGAGAAAGAGGGCCAGAAAAATGGCTTATCTTGAAAGAGCAGCGTGCACTTTTCACACAGCTGCAGCCCCCCCCCCACTCCCACTCGCCACTTTCCATCCTTCACCCTCCCACCCAACATGCTCCCTCCCTTCTATCCCCCGCTCCGGCAGAGTGTTTAACACATGCGGATGAAAAGGGCAGCTCTGTGAAAGGCCAGCGCCGCGCGGCAACCCCGGGATGCCAGCGCCTGTCCAGTCCAATAAGGCAGGTTGTCCTCCTGTAAGCGGTCGCACGGGCGGAAGAACTGGACCCTTCCTGCCTCTCATCGCTTCACTGGGACCACGGCGCTACTCTTCAAATGACAGGTTGGATTGGCGGGGGGGGGGGGGCGTCTGAGGGGGAAGCCCCATGAGAGAGTAAACCCATGTTGGGATTTGGGTTAGAACTCACTTTAACATGGTTACGGAGGAGGAAGTTTCCGTGCTGCATACACGCCGTATGCTGCTGCAGAGGTGGAGCACTCGTTCACCACAGACCTTAAGTCATCGCACATTCTGACGCCTCAGCGACTCATCGCGCCGGTTAGTCAGACTTCCTATGGAGGCTCTCTTGGGTGCTATGACTAATTTAAAAAGGAGATGGAAATGCTGCTTTTATCTTTGCAGCTACCTGTCAAAAGATGGGGAGGAGGGACTTGTATTGATTATTTTTCCAGCGTGCCTAATGTTTTATTTTTAAAAAAACGTAGGGGATGGTCCCACTATGCTAGATCTGGTTGGATGAAGACCTAGAGTTCAGATGTACGGCTTTAAGCTACTAAATCCTTCTTTGACAAACTAAACAGTATCAAATAACTGAATATATTATTTGGCTGCTTGTTGTGGGACATTATTTTGGACTTGGGCCTTATTTGTTCACTATATTTGTGTTTCTCAAAGCAAGATATCAATAATTTACTTTTCTGGTATGGAAACCCAAACAAAACAGGACCTATCAATTTCATATTGGTATTTTATCACGAACACTTACTGAAGTGGGGCACAAATGCACTGCTGAAACCAGGCTATTAACCCAAACTAGATTGATTTGTAAACCGCTAAACTTTGGTGTAATTTGCTGCTACCGTCAAAGTGCTGATATCATGAACCCCAGTGATTCCAGTCAACAACAAATTCTCCCTTTTAGGTTTTAAATTAAAACCTCATCTAACTTTTGGGATAAACTGCAGTGGCATTACTTCCACAGCCTTTGCCTTTTTTTAGATTCAATACTTACGTGATATCATTGCGCTGGTAGCAGCCTTGCAGAAGACAAGCAATGAGGTCCCTGAGGAAGTTCAGGTCCTGCTCTGACAGGGCTTTCTCCAACTCCTGGATGAACACGACAAGAGAGAGAGGAGGGTCAGAACACACAAGAAAAACAACAAACCAGTCCTCAGTAGGAATTTGCTTGTAGAACATATCAATGGTCGCCGCCGTTCAATGGAAAAATTCTGATACGGAGATTTCAGAGGAAAAGGGCATTATGATTAAAACAAAAACAAATTTTGACCAATCAAACGATGCATAGTCATCCTATAAGAAGAGAACAGGCAGTATCTCAGCTCCAAGTTGAGATACTGCACAAAGAAGAAGAAAATCATTACTGAGCCGACTGGTACTCAGGTAAATTCAGCTGGCAGAGGCAGAGGCGGACAGCAGGAGGGACGGTTAGAATGCGTCGCTGTCTCGGTGTGCCGGTGGTTGTTTGGCGATGGGAGGCAGTAGGGGCCTAGAGCTTCACACACAGCCGTGCCCTCCCACCCCCCCTCCTCTCGCTGACCAACCACAACGGAGCGCCCCACACTGCTTCCCAGCATGCACTGCTTTCTCCTCCAAATGATACCAAAAAAGTCTGGAGTAGAACATAACAGAGAACGAGAGAGAGAGGGAGGCTGAAAGGGCAGAAATGCAAAATGCATTTGCTTCGTCAGCCAAGTGTCCATTTCACCTAAAGCCCCCTGTAGCAGGTCACAAACAAGCCCCCTCAGGCTGGGAGCAAAGAGGAAAAAGAACGCGCCTCCCCATGGCTGACCACTCCTTCCTCTTACACTAGCAACAGATCAAAACTCTCTCTCTCTCTCTCTCTCTCTCTCTCTCTCCCCCTCTGTGTGTGTGCCACTCTCCCTACATCATCCACAGACGCACTACTACGGGTTCATAGGTTAAAAAAATACAAAACAAGAATCACCTCGAGGACAAGGAGGCACGCTCAATCATCGCGCACTCACTCGCCTCTTATCCGTCCGCCTCTCTCTAACGGAGCCTGGTCGAGCTTAGGGGTCGCGTACCCCCCGCCCCGCCACGGTAAACGACCGGAAGCCGCGTTCCAACACGTCAGGACGATGACAAACGGGGGAGGGGAAGAGCCAGAATGGTGGTTGAGAAAGAAGCTGAAGGAGAAGATACGCTTCATGTTCTGCCACAAGAGAGGGAGCCGCAAGCGAGAGAAAGACACCGGGAGAGCACTCGCGATGACGAGACGTACGTATATGCTACGTCTTACTAAGCACAGAAAGAACAGTTCATTAGGTTTGATGAGCACATTCTAACAACCCATTTAAAAAAGTCTACAAATCCAACGCTCTCACAGCGGCAAATTAAAAACAATTCTATGACACACCGTAAGCAAGAAGACTTTGTGGGTCAGCGCATGCGAGACGAAGGCCAGAGCGGACGAGAGGATATTTTGACTCTGCGGGTAGCGGGACTCATATTTTTCCAGCAAAGGTCCTTGTCTCGCTGTTTGGCCGCGCAGCTGTGCCCATGACCGGTGCTCCTCACAGGACGGAAAGGCAGCATGTGTGTCCCCGCGTGGACAAGCGTGTGCGCGTGTGTGTGTGCGCGTGGGAGATCCTGTGTCACGCTCCCTTCCATTTCCTGGTCCCCCTCGTCTGGCGGCCTCCGGATCGGACCGAGGCCATCCATCAGAGACGGGCTGCACTTTGATCTCGCTTTGCAAAAAAAAGAAAGTCTGGGTGGGGCAAGAAAGTCTGTGGGGGCACGGCCAGGGGGACGAGTGGAGAGTCAAGGAGGCAGATTGGAGGGCCTGCTACAGCCCCTGGATTAACGCCGCCCTGCTCCACCTTTGAAGTGCCACACTTCCTCTCAGATGGCAGATGGGTGGGGAATTGATGTAGTGTTTGTGGCCTTTCTTCGCCCCTGGCTCTCACTAACGCTCACGGGCTGAGAGGGACACGTCCTGTGAGCTCTGAGAACCTTTTTGCCTCCATCCGCCCATCGAACCAACGCACTAGGACGACACCACCCGCGACCTCTGGCAAACATGGGCAGCACAACACCACACTTTTACCGACATTCACGCGTGTCTCGCGGGATGAACGCTTTGCAGTACTTTGCCTGCTTCGCATTAATGATCAATGGGACTCGTAGATAAGAGAGCTGGGGGGGGGGGGGGGCGATAAACTTTAAAGTGCACCGATCGAGAGCCAAAACAAATCCGGCCATTCGTATACACACACGCTCACGGGACAAAGATTGGAGGGAGAGTCAAGGCTTGTCAAAAGGTGTGTCATCACTACAGCCCTTCTGTAGGCCCGCCTTGCAAACAGCGGTTTGCCCTGAAGGTATTTGCTATTCCTCTCACCCTTCTCCCCTGCTGGCTTAACCTCTTACTCCTCTCTTCCACACCCTTTTTACTCCCACTGTGTTGCTCCATGTTGCCTACAAGGGCCTCTGAGGCATTCTATTATCCCTCCTCTTACGACACGTGAATTCCTCATCCCATGACACTAGAGGCAGAGCCGGTGGCTGGCTGCACTGAAGGCGAGGACGGTGTTGTGGTTTTTGTCAGTATTACAAGAGGGTAAGCTGTGGGCTAAAGTTTCAGCAATGGACCGATTTGAGGCCAAAACAAACAACGAAAAAGGTGCAGGGTCCAGTCGACAAACAACATGCATGTGGTTTGTCAAAAGTCAGGGAAGTTAAAAATGGCTTGATACACTTTCTCAATTAGCTCAATTATTCTCAATTAGCTCCCTCCTTCCGACACTGGTTTGGGTTGAATGCCTGGCTGTGATGACCATGCCTCAATGACGCATTGATGGAAATGATTGAGCGCTATTGACATCCAACAGACTTCGACAGACTCCCCAAAAAGAGAGAAAGAACTATTCTATAACGTGGCTCGAACACGCATCCAGGAATAGTGCGTTGCACACACATGTGCTGTTTAAAGAGGGATTTAACGAAGCCACGCTGAAGACGAGCCTCCGCTCGGAGGACGCGACTCTGGGTCTCTGCTTGACCTGGGAGCCAGTGCGGAAAATGTTACGAGACAACGTGACATAAATCATCTGAGGAAGGCGCGGAGGAGACATCAAGGCTGAACCAAGATCAAGGCGGAAAACACCACCTGCATTTGCAGATAAAAATGAAACACCGATGGCCCCCCCATCATGTGTCCCATTCATATCAGAGCGAGAGAGAGAGGAAAAACTGAGATAGAATGTCTACGAGTGGGCCAACACAGAGAGAAAGAGAGGGACACACAGAGAGACGCAGGGTTGTGATAATCAGTGGAGCAGCAGATGTATCAGCAGCCCCAAGGTTGTGGCAGATCCACAAAGACCGTAGCATCGGGGGTTGGCCTCTCTGGCTCGCCTCACAGCAGATACTTTCCATGCCACTGCCGTTAACAGCCCCTCCGGGGTCTATATCACCAACAGTTGCGAGGATGTGTGCACAGCTAGCGAGAGGAGGGGACAGGAGGAGGGGAGGGGATGCCTGTTTGTTGTGTAAAGGCCCCTCTCTCTTTCTCTCCTTTGCTGCTTTCTTTTTTTTTTTCTTCCTCCCCCTACTCGGCTCCAGGAGCCAGCATCTGACAACCCCGCCCCCGCCCCCCATCTCCTCTCTCTCCCTCCCCCACCCCCTCTCACACACACGTAACCACCTCCTGCCACATGACAAACATGCACACGCAGCCTTAAACGCCGCAGGAAGACGCCCTCGCATCCTCAGGATGTGCCGTTCGCTTGATTGGAGGAGGAGCTAAGCGTCTCTCGGGTCGCTGCCGGTGGAACATCTGACTTACGCATCGAAGCAACACAACTTGCCGGCCAATAGGCCTGGACGGGGGTACTCTTGATTTACAGCCCTTTAAGCCACAGTGGACAATTCATGTCCCGCACGCACCTGTCTTAACGAGCATCAGAACACATTCAAACGGCTGCAGCCTCTGGGGGAGACGCCATTTGTTTATGAAAATATGTGAACAGGAAGAACAACAACAGTGACAAAGACTAAGTGCAGCTCGCACACCACGCAGGGCCAAATGCAACTGTGCTAGAAAGCTAAAAGCCCTTTTATCCTGTAAAGTCAATTCCAACTTCTCACGGAGTTGTATTATAGTGTGTCAGGGTTAAGGGGACAGGTGGGCTTTACGAGTGGGGAAGAAGCTGTGTAAGTGTCTGGGTGTGTGTTTATGTGTGGTGGGCTGGGGGGGGGGGGGTTGAGGCACGGACAGCAGATCGAGCCTTTGCCTTGGCCCACCTCACCAGAATACGGGTGAGAGTCATTAACCACAGGAGGCCACCTGGTGCCGCCCTGAGCCCCCCCCCCATACTTCCATTCAGCTCCGAGGAAAACGCATCATGAACTTCAGTAAAATGGAGCTTCCTGCTTCAGCTTCCATCCCAGCGGTCCCATTCGCTCGCTGCGTCTAGCATGCGCCCGCATGTACGTGCACACACACACGCACACACACACACGCACACACACAATGCCTGCCGACCGTGAGCAGGGAAAATGGTCCCTGAGCAGGTTTGGTTGTAGACTCTGAGGGAGCAGTCTTGAAATGGAGAAAACAACATAAAGCAGATGGCTTGCAGCCTCACAAGAGGAAAGTAACCTTTAGCAAAGTGGTTTAATTCTGTATCTTAGGCGCCAAAATGTAACATGCAAGAGAAGCGGTGGCATATTTCTATTCACCGAGCCGAATTGTGTATCAGTCAAGATAAGATTTAAATTATTGCTCCACAGCACAGTTCACGTCACACAACCGTAAAACAATTGATGACGCGGTTAATTGTGGTCACACAAGCTGCCCACAATGCCGGTCGGCATTGACAACTAAACAACAGTGTTTTGGCTCACACGTTCATATTTTGACAACAAAACGTGTAAAAAAAGTGTGCCAACCACAAGTCCTCACTTAAGCATGAACCCCCCCTTCCCCTCCCGAGTGATCCGTCTAGTCAGCCAAGTGTGTGCCAGTCTGCACCTCGAAATAGGCCCGGCAGAGCCCAACTCAACCCTGGAATAATATCCTGCTCCCTTTTTCTACAACTCCCACTGGAAGGGAGCTGCTTTGGTGAAGTTCTCGCCGCTCGGTTTCTCCCGCGTCGCCTCAATTCTGCTCGAGGCCCACAGTGAGTCGGCAGCACGGGTTGGGGGGGGGGGCGCCCCAGACTGGAGAC